CAACTCTTGTATATATCTCCAAAAAAAAAAAAAAAAAAAAATAGAGAACATCCTTGATAATCTAGTGAACCCAGCACCAGATATTATCTTCCTTGGAGATTTCAATTCACCAAGTCTAAGATGGAGAATAATAAACACAAATATCATAGCAGGGAATGACCCGGGAAATAACCAACCACAGGTCAGAGAACTTTTGATATTCTGTGACAAATTCTCGCTCAATCAACAGATCACAGATCCAACTAGGAACGAAAACACACTAGACTTGCTATTCACAAACAATGATGAACTAATCAGAGACATTACAATCTCTAATGCTACATACTCAGACCATAAGCTCATTGAAGTGCGAACTAGCATAAATAACGGTAGTAGGTCTAAGAGACCCAACAAGCGAGAAGGAATATTCAATCAATTCAATTTCAACAATAAGAGGATCTATTGGGTAAAAATAAATGAAGACCTTGCAACCATTCAATGGGAGACAGTCTTAAGCGACAAAACTCCCACACAGGGAATAGCTCAACTGACAGCTGAAGCATACAAGGTCTGCCTGAAACACGTGCCTGTGAGGAGGGGCAGAAAGAGGACCACTCTAGAAAGAGAACGCAGACGACTGTACAGGAGAAGGAAAAAAAAATAACGGAAATGCTTAGGCACACATGATTATCACAAGCAAGGAAAATAAACCTAAACAGGGAGATTGAAGAAATAGAACAAACGTTGAAGCGATCATACAAGGCTGAGGAAATGGAATTGAAACAGAAAGCTATACAAGAAATAAAGAAAAATTCAAAATATTTTTTCACATATGCAAAATCAAAATCAAAAACCTCCACCAGTATTGGACCTTTAATTACAACTAAAGGTACATACACAGAGGACAACAAAGAAATTAATGAAATTCTAAGAAGCCAGTATGAAGATATGTTTAGCACACCAATAAACAACATGAAAGTTGATGACCCAGACAGCTTCTTTATGAATGACATTCAAGCTGCAGATAATATAACGGATATTAACACGAACTCGGAAGACTTTGAAAGAGAAATTGACAATATGCCCATGCACTCGGCTCCTGGGCCCGACTCGTGGAATTCAATATTTATAAAGAAATGTAAAGTACCAGTAGCACGAGCATTCAGCATAATATGGAGAAAGAGCCTAAATACAGGGGAGATACCAGCAGCACTTAAATTTGCAGATACAGTATAGCTCCTTTGCACAAGGGAGGGAGGAAAGCCTTGGCAAAAAATTATAGGCCAGTTGCACTAACATCACACACAAAAGTTTTTGAAAGAGTGATTAGGAATCAAATTTCTAGTTTTATGGAAAATAATGAGTTACACAACCCAGGACAACATGGATTTAGAGCGGGAAGATCCTGTCTGTCACAGTTACTTAACCACTATGACAAAATCACAGAAACTCTAGAAGAAAAGCAAAATGCAGATGTAGTATACACAGATTTTGCAAAGGCATTCGAGAAATGTGATCATGGAGTGATTGAACAAAATGAGGTCAATGGGAATAACTGGTAAAGTAGGACGCTGGATACTCCATCTCCTGTCGAACAGAACACAGAGTAACAGTCAATCAAATAAAATCAATCCAAGTGCAGTTAAAAGCTCTGTACCTCAAGGTACAGTCCTTGCACCACTGCTGTTCCTTATTCTCATATCAGATATAGATAAAAATACAAGTCACAGCTTTGTGTCATCCTTTGCAGATGACACAAAAATCAGCGTGAAAATTACCTCTGCTGAAGACATGGAAAAATTACAAGCAGATATCAACAAAGCTTTCGATTGGGCAGCAGAAAATAACATGATGTTTAACAGCGATAAATTCCAGGTACTCAGGTACGGCAAAAATGAAGACCTGAAACATAATACAGGGTACAAAACATAATCAAATCTGCCCATAATAAGTAAACAGCACGTCAAGGATTTGGGAATAATGATGTCCGACAATCTAACGTTTAGGGAGCATAACCAAGCAAACATTGCGTTGGCCAGAAAAATGATAGGATGAATTACGAGAACTTTCAAATCCAGAAATCCCATCACGATGGTTGTACTCTTCAAATCACTGGTGTTGTCCCGTCTCGAGTACTGCTCAGTACTCACTTTCCCCTTCAGAGCAGGAGAGATTGCTGAAATAGAGGGAATACAGAGAACATATACGGCACGCATAGACGCGATAAAGCACCTAAATTATTGGGATCATCTCAAAGCTCTCCAAATGTACTCACTAGAAAGGAAACGAGAGATATACCAAATAATATACACATGGAAAATACTGGAAGGCCAGGTCCCTAATCTACACAGTAAAATAACAATGTACTGGAGTGAACGATTTGGAAGAAAATGCAGAATAGAACCAGTGAAGAGCAGAGGTGCCATAGACACAATCAGAGAATACTGTATAAACATAAGAGGTCCACGGTTGTTCAACACCCTCCCAGCGACCATAAGAAATATTGCCGGAACAACAGTGGACATCTTCAAGAGAAAACTATACTGGTTTCTAAAAGACGCTCCGGACCAACCGGGCTGTGGTGGGTATGTGGGCCTGCGGGTCACTCCAAGCAACAGCCTGGTGGACCAAACTCTCAAGTCAAGCCTGGCCTCGGGCCGAGCTTGGGGAGTAGAAGAACTCCCAGAACCCCATCAAGCAGGTATCAAGCAGGTATCACAGTAGATAGCCAGGAAAGATACAGAAGTTAGGTTAAGAAAGAAGACAAAAAATCAGTAGCATGACAAGATTAATATACAGTATAGCAAAAATAATAAGACAAATAATAATCGTAAGTAAAATAATCTTGAAGATAAATTATTTTATATAGCTTAGTTGTGAACCTATAATTAGTATGAACTTAAGAAAACAAAATGAGCTCAATAATTAATTACAATAAATGATGTATAAATCAAATTACAATTAAATTTAAAATTGAAAAAATGACAGGGTAAGATTATATTAATGAGTAAAATTTTACTATAACACTGAGGTAGATGCTTACATAAATACTAAATCTGTTGTAATTAGAGAATTATTATAGCAAAACACAACAATAAATGCAAGTACACAAAAAATAGTAACAATTAGAAGTATAATAAAGATCACTGTAGATACCCAGGAAGGATACAGAAGTTAGGTGGAGAAAACAAAAAATCAGTAGGGACTGTCAAGATTAATATATAAGGTGCATTTGGTGTATAAGGTGTATATAAGGTGTGCATTTTAATATATAAGGTGCAAAGACATGCCACTAAGTGGCTTCCAGAACTGAAGAACAAGAGCTACGAGGAAAGGTTAGAGGCATTAAATATGCCATAACTAGAAGACAGAAGAAAAAAAAGAGGTGATATGATCACTATGTACAAAATAGTAACAGGAATTGATAAAATTGATAGAGAAGATTTAATGAGACCTGGAACTTCAAGAACAAGAGGTCATTTTATTTATTTATTTATGCATATACAAGAATGTACATAAGGAATGTGAGGATACAAATATGGTAATTACAGTCTTGTAAAGCCACTAGCTCGCGCAGCGTTTCGGGCAGGTCCTTAATCTAAGAAAATTTTAAGGAGGTAAATACTTCTAATGCAGTTAGCCAAAGATGGACTTTATTTAGTTCAGTATTCACTGTCATTCAAGATAAGAGGTTTAGGACTGGAGAAAATGAAGGGTGTGTCATCAGCAAAAAAGATTGGCATGAGATGTTAAGAGGCATTTGGAAGGTCATAAATGTAGATGAAAAAGAGGAAAGGGCCATGTATACTGCCCTGTAGAATACCAATGTTAATGGGTACAGTGGGAGAATCGGAATCATTCACAGAAACATACTGGAGCCTGTCACCAAGGTAAGACTGATAATTACCTCCTCAAGTACAGTTATTAGCACCTCAATTAAGTACATAATAATAACATATGCTAGTTTTTTTTTTTTTTTTTAGATATATACAAGAGTTGTTACATTCTTGTACAGCCACTAGTACGAGTAGCATTTCGGGCAGGTCCCTGGAATACGATCCCCGCCGTGAAGAATCGTTTTTACGACCAAGTACCCATTTTACTGTCGAGTTAAACAGAGGCTACAGTTAAGGATTTGCGCCCAGTAAATCCTCCCCGGCCAGGATACGAACCCATGACAAAGCGCTCGCAGAACGCCAGGCGAGTGTCTTACCATTATATCACGGAGACTAGTAATAATAGTAATATAGTAGTAGTAGTAATAAGAATAAGTAATAAGTAGAAAATAAGTAAAATAAAAATATAATAAGAAAAATAAAAAATAAGAAAATAAAAAATAAGTAAAAAAGTAATAAGTAGTGGTAATAATAGTAATAACAACATTTGCTAGCCTAACCTTTACTCAAACAAGTAAAAACAATACCTAGTCATAAGATCGTGGTACCGTACTGTTAATAAAGCCTAGAATAACAGCAAAATGATAGAGGAGTGTAAAAAGTGTGACAACCTGATATGCATTTCATTATGTTTTAAAATTGGTGTTATAATACTTGATACTCAGATACAAGTCACATGGAATTTACTATCTAACCATAAAGTTGTCAAAGTTGCATTTTTTGTCTTAAAACCTATGAATTATAATAGTTTACTAGAATTACATTTGGTTACAAAACATTATAGTTTAAATTAGAATTTATACAAAATTACACCATTTACCATGTAGTATTCACAATTTAAACCGTTTTCATATGACTCTACCCCTTTAGAATGTTTGTCTATAAATAGTCAATGTCATACCAGTGTGCCAATATATATATATATTAGTAGGCCTACCTAACCCAACCTAACAATATAGGAATAGAGTCTATAATGAGGTGTGAGAACTGTACAACACTATACCTCTGGGAATGGTTTACGACCCTACTGGCCGTTTTTAACTACCTAAACTCTGGTAGTTTTGAAGTGACTTAACCACATATGTTGAATTAAGAAAACCGTCCTACATTCATACGATTTTTCACCTTCAACGGACTCTTCAATTTTCTTGTTTTGAAGTTCAGAAGAATTTTTCCTAGCCGTGTCGTTTCTCATGTGTTTCTTGGAATTTTTGTGGCTGAGAAGTGAAGACTTGTTGCAGTTCTTAAGTTTGCAATCGCAGACGTTGCATACTGCAGAGAACTTGTCATTAGAGTCTGGCTTGAGCCAGGTCTTGAGGTCAGGGTCACGGAGCCACTCGTTGTTGAAGACCTGTTGATACCAGACCTTGGACTTCTTCCTAGGCGGGGAATCTATCTTCCCGCTCTCAGTCATACTGTCACTAATTACACAACCCAGTTCTGTACTCAGACTCCTGTCGTCATTAGCACTGTACGTCCCGGTGTATAAGTACAGTAAGTCCACTGTAAGTACAGCATGAGGATACAGCACACGGTCACTGGACGAGGTGGTGCTGCTGGCGGGTGTATTATGTTCCCAGTCTGGAGGAGGGACCATGGCGGCCCCGGCCACCTGGCTCGCCCAGTCCCTCCTCTCTGTCTGCACTCCCTCCATACACTGCCTCCACCGGCTTCCTCCACCCACTCATCCCTCCACCGCCCACATTTCCACAAGCCCCTTACGAATACCTCAATCTTTATACATAAAAACCAAGATTCCAAGCTAGTGAAAAATTCCCATTCTTGGGAAAATTCTAAAATGTACTCATTTTTGTTTGTATTGATTGTCAATGAGCAATCTGAGAGCAGAAGTACACCAAGAACTTCAAAAAAATCTTGTAAATCTGAGGCAGAGTGAAATCGACACCAGTAATTCCATCTATCATCATACTATCATGCATGAGGAGCCACACATCTATTCAAATTCAAATTCAAAATTCAAATTCAAATGTTATTTAGGTAAAGTACATACAAACAAGGGGTGATACAAATATTGATGAATATATAGATAGGGCTAGTACATACAAGGCCCAAAGCCACTATTACGCAAAGCGTTTCGGGCAGGAAAACACTAGAGACTAAAACTTAAAACACAGTGCAGACAGTGGACTGCAGGTGGCTCCGAAGACTGCATAGAGTGCAGCGAAGTCCATATCACTATGCAGCGGGTAGATACTAAGGAACGCCAACAGGCCAAGGTAAGAGGGAGTTAAGTGGCATCGAACTGCGGAACCACTTATGCTCAACAAGATGAATTAAAACTGCAACGAAATTATTATTAAGAATGGAGAGAAAATGCGTTCTTTCCTTCTTTTCTCGTGAAAATCCTCGGCTGGGACACGCCATCTGTAGCCTCGGCAGCTGGACCATTGCAGCTGCGGCATCTTCGGTTGAACACCGCTAGATGTCAACTTCAGCAGCTGGGACATTTTCGGCTGGATTCCTCCTTCCGGAGCCTCAGCTGCTGGGTCATCGGCTGGAAACTCGTCAGCCGGGACATCCGGAGCTGGGCTAGGCCCCCCAGGGGCATGCTCATCTGGAACACCACCAGCTGTGCCATCAGCTGCTGGATCATCGGCTGGGACCTCAGCAGCTGAGCTTGGCCCCCAGGGGGCATGCTCGGCTGGCACACCACCAGCTGGCCCATCAGCTGGGCCTCGCTCAGCGGCCGTAACGCTACCAGCTGGGCCCTCAGCTGCTGGATCATCGGCATGGACTACGTCAGCCGGCACATCAGCAGCTGGGTCTGGCCCGAGAAACAAACAAACAATATATAATACATAAATTAGAAAGGAATATAAAGAATGACAAAATGTAAAGAACAGAAATCGTATATAAATAAAGAGGGTGACTGTGCATGCTCGGCTGCAACACCACCAGCTGAGCCTTCGGCTGCTATTATTAGCTCCTAATAATTAATTAACAATACTCATAATAATAATGGTTGATTAAAAGGGCATGCTCAGCTGGATCTTCAGCTGCTGGGTCACCGGCAGCATATAAATAATAATTAATCAACTGCAAACAATTAATTAACAATAATCACAATGACTGATGGGCATGCTCAGCTGTAAGTCCGCCAGCTGAGCCTGCAGCTGCTGGCTCATCGGCTGGGACCACATCAGTCGGTACGTCAGCACCTGTGCTTGGCCCCCAGGGGCGTGCTCAGCTTGGAACACCACCAGCTGGGCCATCAGCTGCTGGATCATCGGCTGGGACCACATCAGCCGGTACCTCAGCAGCTGTGCTTGGCCCCCAGGGGCATGCTCAGCTGGAACACCACCAGACGGGCCATCAGCTGCTGGATCATCGGCTGGGACCACATCAGCCGGGACATCAGCAGCTGTGCTTGGCCCCCGGGGGCATGCTCAGCTGGAACACCGCCAGCTGTGCCATCAGCTGCTGGATCATCAGCTGGGACCACAACAGCCGGAACATCAGCGACTGTGCGTGGCCCCCAGGGGGCACGCTCAGCTGGCACACCACCAGCTGGCCCATCAGCTGCTGGGTCATCGGCAGCGTATCCACCTCACCCGGGACATCAGCAGCTGTGCCCGGCCCGAGGGCGGCTGGGCCATTAGCTGCTGGATCATCGGCAGGGATCACATCAGCCGGCACAACAGCGGCAAATCAAATGAGTAGCGAAATTATAATAATCAGTATGGATAATTGAATATGAGGATAATAATAAACAGGGAAAGGTTTATTTGCCCTTTCTAAGGACCCCGATGTGCGGGCTGCACGGCGGGGTCCCTCCCCGCCCTCAGTCCTGTGCCCGGGCGTGCGTGTCGTGCCATGCACGTGTGGCTCCCCTTTCCGTATGAGGGCGGGCGGCGCCGCTCTGGTGGTGTTGCCCACGTGGCCAGGCTCAGTGGCGTGCTTGCCATAGTCGCGGTCCCTGGGGGCACCCTTCGCCCCTTGCGTGCGGGCTCCTCTACGCCCGGGGGCGGGCGGCGCCACAGTGGTGGTGTCGCCCATCTGGTCATGGTTCTCAGGGGCTTGCCTGCCCTAGGCGGGGTCCCAAGGGGCTCTGCTACGCCCTCGTCCTAGTGGGCGCCTGGGCCACGAGGCATGCACGTGCGGGCTCCTCTATGCCCGTGGGCCGGAGTCCCCCATGCCTGGTGGCGTGGCCCATGCGGACAGTCCTAATGGTTTCCTTGCCCTAGGGGCGCGTCACTGGGGCCCGGAGGTGTGCACGGCGTGGTCTAGTGTCCGTGCCTGGGGTACGCGTGGGCCACGTGGACGGGCTCCTTACAGTTCTCACGCCTCTGGGGGCTGCATTAGGGGCCTCGCCTCGCCTCGCCCGGGCTGAGGGGCACGGGGTGTGGGCCCGGGAGTGATGTCTGGCCCCAGACATCACTCGGTACCCTTACTCAAATCTCTGAATATGTTAGATATTAAGTCCCTGCACATCCTCTCATGTGTATTTTATATATATAAAACGCTGAACTGTAATGTCAATCCTGACCTAAAAAGCTTCCTAGAAGGTTGTAACAGATCCCATTAGCACCACACCAGAAACAAATTAAATACCTATTTGATATTCCAAGAGTACGACTTAGTCAAACTAGAAGTGCTTTACAAATCAAGGGACCTCGTATGTGGAATGACCTTCCCAATTATTTTAAAGACTGTACCTCTCCCAGTCAGTTTAAGATAAAAACTAAGTACTACCTAATTAACTCAGTGTAACCTACCTCACCCCCAAAATGTCAACCCATGTCTTCTATTTTAAACAATTCTGTTTTGTTGACCAAATTGTATTTTTGCTTTTTTCTGCCATGTTTCCCCCCCCCCTCCCCTTTTTCCATTCTTTTCTTATTTTTTCTCAACACAATTTGTACTTTAATCTCAATTAGTATTAAGTTTTAGTCTTAGTGTTTTTCCTGCCCGAAACGCTTTGCGTAATAGTGGCTTTAGGCATTGTATGTACTAGCTCTATCTGTGAATCCATCAACTCTTGTATTTCACCTTGTATGTATGTACTTTACCTGAATAAATATTTGTATTTTGTATGTTATTGATGCCTGCATATTGGTGTCTGTTCCAGACACAGAAGAATGTGCAAACATTAAGTAGCGAAGTTAAAATGAAGCTAAATAACATATATAAAGATCAGTGTGTACATAAAAGTTTATTAAATATTGGTAATGGAATTTGGGTCAAGTTTAGTTAGTTTAGTTCATTTATCATGCACCCCATACCCATCGTGTGGGCGGTAGTGGAAAGGGTTACAGAGGCACATAATGGGCTCAGGGACTGAACCCCACAATTCATTTAGCTAAGAAAGTTACAATTTTGATGAGCTAGTTTGATCTGGGTCAAAATGATCATATGTTTGATAAAAGCGACGGTGCCGGGAGTCTCCAGCGACCAAACGCTCTGGCATCAAACATTTCTATCATTGCTCCTTAAGCAACAACAAACATTTCTGATTTATTTTGGCTGCCATTTCCTTCTCAAATAAGCATTAAATGCTATAATTTGCATTTATATTTATTCTGCTTGAATTCAGTTTGAATTGGGTAATATAATGGTATGATATACCCATCTGACGAAATAAAAGTGAGAAATTATTGCGGGGTTGTTCGCTGGGAAGGTTGGGAGGAGCAGGTGACCATGGCGGCCACGGCAGCGGTGTGTCGGTCTCGGCTCGGGTTCCGTCGTTTACACTTCCAACATGCGAGAACCGCCGCTTTAAATGTAAGCAGGGAAATATACAACTTGTGTATCTCAAGCAACCATAGTCGGTTCTCTTACAACGTGGGTCAAAGACACCGGGTTCAAGGTTCAAATCCCTGAACTTGCGCTCACCACACATTCACCTGTGTTAGTTACACATACAAACACTTATTTATAAATTCTAATTCTGTTTTAAGACGCTTCTTTGATAGATGTATCAGGATCCACGAACATCATACCAGAAATAAATTTCTCTGATATTTCCAGAGTCAGATTAAATCTATGGGTACACGCCTTGCAACTCTTAAGGAACCCATACATGCAACTGGCTCCTTGATGAAGTAAAACAGTTGTTCAAACAATACTTTATTGAGAAGTAGAAGAATGATGTTGCCAGTTTCACCAGCAGTGTGCCCCACCCTGTGCTACTAACTCGCTCAGTGTTTTACTAAGTATAAATACAACTACAGTGTACAGTACTTTCTTCTTGTACATAAATAAATAAAAAAATCACCACTTGTTATTAAAATAGTAATTAATAAGTAATAATTAAAAACCAAAGCTGGGAACATTGAAATACCATCTATAATATATAAGGGTGCTGCACCTGCTCTTGCACTACCCATAGCTCTGCTATTCAACAAATCTCTAGTGTCATACTTTTCCTGATATCCTTAAAAAAGCAAGAGTAACACCAGCTCATAAAGGTGGCGAGACAACTGGCATAAACAATTACAGACCAATATCAAATCTACTTTCAAAAATATTTGAAACAATCATTTACAAACTGCTCTATTCCTACTTTGATACCTGCTTGATGGGGTTCTGGGAGTTGTTCTTCTCCCCAAGCCTGGCCCGAGACCAGGCTTGACTTGTGAGAGTTCAGTCCACCAGGCTGTTGCTTGGAGCGGCCTGCAGGCCCACATACACACCACAGTCCGTTTGGTCCTGCACTTTTCTTAGAAAACAGTCTAGTTTTCTCTTGAAGATGTCCACGGTTGTCCCAGCAATATTTCTAATAGTCGCTAGCAGGACGTTGAACAACGTTGTAATACTCAACATATTAAGTCCCTGCCGTTCCAAAAAAGAACCAATGATGCCATTGTTAGTCTGCTTAATATAATCTACACAGCCCTTGACAAACATGAGTTTCCAATTGACCTCTTCATTAACCTAAGAAAGGCCTTTGATACTGTAAACCATAACTACCTCTCACTTGATTAAACTTCACCACTATGGTATCCGAGGCCTTGTTCTGGACTATATTCGTTGCTATCTCAGTGACACACCAATATGTAGTCATCAATAGCATAACCTCTCGCACACTACCATTGATAGTAGGGGTGCCACAGGGCAGCATCTTAAGACCTCTCCTATTTCTTATACAGTATACATCAATGATTTGCCAAATGTTTCTAACATTCTTAATACTATACTATTTGCTGACAATACTACCCTCGTCTATTTTCACCCCAACCCCCACACTAAATAATATTGTCAACAGTGAATAAAAAAAAAAAAAGACATCAATCGAGGATGTCAATCAACAAACTTACACTAAACATAGAAAAGACCTTCATTTTATTTGGTAGTAAATCATCAAATCGGATTTAACTTCAGATAAGAACATAAGAATAAAGATAACTGCAGAAAGCCATACCATACAAGGCAGCTCCTATTTATAACCACCCAATCCCACTCATATACATGTCCAACCCATGTTTGAAGCAGTCAAGGGACCCCCCACCACCACCACGCTACGCAGTAATTGGATCCACAAATCAACAACCCTGTTACCGAACCAGTATTTACCAAGGTCTTTCCTAAATCTAAACTTTTCCAATTTATTCTATTGTTTCGTGTTCTGTCTTGTGTTGATACTATCAACACCCTACCAATATCTTCCCTTGTTGTGCCCATTCATCCACTTGTACACCTCTATCATGTCACCCCTAATTCATCGCCTTTCTAAAGAATGTAATTTAAGCTTTGTCAATCTTTCTTCATATGACAGGTTTCTTAATTTGGGGGTATTAACTTTGTCATCCTACACTGGACGCGTTCTATTGAATTTATATCCATTCTATAGTACGGCAACCAAAACTGAACTGAATAATCTAAATGTGGCCTAACCAGAGCAAGATATAGCTGAAGAACAACACCAGGTGTCTTATTACTAACGCTACAATTAATAAATCTCGGTGTCCTATTTGCCTTATTACAAACATTTGGTTTTAAATTCTTACTAATCATAATTCCCAGATCCCTTTCCCAATCCGACTTCACAATCTCAACACCATCTACCTCGTATCTTGTAATTCATCATCATTACCTAACCTCAAAACCTTACATTTGTCAGCTTTAAACTGCATCTGCCAATCTTTTGACCATTTCAAAACCCTATTTAGATTGCCTTGAAGTGATAGTGAGTCTTTTTCCGTGTTTATTTCCCTCCCGATTTTTGCATCATTGGCAAATTTGCAAATATTGCTGCTCAAACCTGAATCTAAATCATTTATGCAAAGCAAAGAGGAGCATTGCGAGCCATTGTCTACCATCTATATAAATAAAAATGGAAATGTTTGTTTGTTCAAAATCGCTAATCTCCGAAAGTTCTTCACCGATTGGTTTGAAATTTTCACACAGTATTCCATTCGCATCCGGCCAGGTTTTTATATACATACTATTTAGATGTCACGTATGTGACGGTGAAGAACATGCTTTTTCTGAAAAACTGTGTTTTTCCTGTGAGGGAAATCTTCGAAACATCTTTACCGATTGCTTTGAAATTTTGACACAACTTTGCATTCAAATAGGCGCGTCTTTTTATATATCTACTATATACATGCCTCACCTGTGACAGGAAAAAACATGCGTTTTTTGAAAACAGCTCCATCTGTTGGACGTAAGAGCAACATACACTGTAATCTCTGAAAATTCTTCACCGATTGCTTTCAAATTTTGACACAACGTTTCATTCGAATAAGCACGTCTTTATGTACCTATTATATAGATGCCACCCCTGTGACAGGTAAAAACGCGTTTTTGAAAAACAGCGCCATCTGTTGCACATAATAGCAACATGCACGCAATAATAAATATGTCATGAATTCCATTTCAATGTTTCCGATTGCATTGATAAATTTTATTTTCATAGATTACGATTTGTTTTATTTTTTATTGAATTATTTTGTGTGACATTGTGTTGGAATTGAGCTGTGTTGTTTGCCATACCGTTCATTTTGTAGGTACAAGTATAGATGCCACACCTGTGACGGAATTGAGCTGTGTTGTTTACCATACCGTTCACGATACAAGTATAGATGCCACACCTGTGACAGATAAAACTATGCTTTTCTTGAAAAACAGTGCCATCTGTTGCATGTAAGAGCAATACACATGCTATACTAAATATGTTACAATTCCATTTCAATGTTTCTGATTGCATTGATAAATTGAATTTTCATAGATTTTGATTTATTTTCACTTTGATTTAATTATTTTGTGTGAATTGCATTGGAATTGAGCTGTATTGTTTTCCATACCGTTCATTTCGTGAGTATAGTTTTTTTTTATATATTCATATTTTCATTTCATTTTTTAACTTTTTCTTATATTTCAGTGATGTTTCTTATATATCACTGATCTTATATGATCAGTGATAGGAGCTGTTCTCCTTATCAACCAAACGTTCTTCTTTTTCAAAAATTCATCTAAAGTAAATTTTTGAAAATATTTTGATGAAAGTTTCACAACGCTGAAGCCAATAAGTTGGAGATTTGTTTAACATTTTTAAGTAATTTTTACATAATGCAAATATTTTTTGCTTCTCTGCCCCTTTTGCTGAGCAGTTTATGGGTTAAAGGTTAACAGATATTGCCGTGACATGTTATTGTGGATTAGTTCTATATACAGTGATACCTTGGTTTTCGATAATCCGTTCCCAGAGACAGGTCTTAAGCCGAAAATTCATAACCCGAAACAAATTTTCCATAAGAAATAATGTACTGTAAATTGAATTAATCTGTTCCACACTACCAAAAATAGTAACTTCAAAATACATTTCATATATAATGCACACACAAATATTTTGTACTATAGTATGTACAAGTTACCACTTACTTTTATTGATGACTTGTTGGTGTATGGAAGACAGTGAGGAGGGGCGCGGGGGAGGAGAGGTGTTAGTGTTTACAAGGGAAGTCCCCTTCCATTACAACATCAAGCAGTGATGACTTCTCTGGGGGTACTTTCTTTCCTACATTTTGCAGGCCTTAGGACCTGCTTGTGGCTCACTGCTTGCTTGTCTTACTAAGAATCTGTCTATAGACACTTGTTTTTCCCCTACATTTTAACACTTGTCTGTAGTGAGACATCAGTCATTCAAAAAGTCAATGCATTAGCCTGCTACAGCGTTATCTGGGTGAGTTTTTTCAACAAAACTTTGCAGTTCTTCCCATACTTCACACATTTTCTTGAGGAAGAGACATCCTCTACTGCCTCTTCTCACAACTATTATCTTTGGTTGAATCGTACCACTGACTTTCTTGGGACCCATGGCATAATATACAATAATTATTTTTGGTCAAAACCAAAAAAGCAGAACAACGAAATTCGTTACAAAGAATTCAAGCGCGATTGTCACTAAGCGGAGGCACTGGTAATCTGAAGCGCGGTCGCCCATGCCACCAGGAACCACATGCTTGGTCGACCCATAAGTATACTGTATCAACAAAGTCGCAAGGTGAGGCAAAGTTCGTAACCCGATTCAAGTTTTCCAAAAAAATTACGTTAATAACCTGAATAATTGGTAAAGAGGGACGTTCGCTAACTGAGGTTCCACTGCATTTACCGGCATCATGTGCAATAATGAACCTAATATCTAAACATAGCAATAAGTTTTAGCTGTTGGTTTTTTGGAGCAACAGCTAAAACCACTGAGTTTTAGCTGTTTTGAACATAACATTTGTTCAAAATGTTTTGCAGAATATTTGTATTACAATGATCATCATGAACATATGCCACTATTCAAAACTATGACAGACCTATAATTTTCAGCATAATGTCATTTTGTTAGGGGACCACCAGTCAGCCAGTGTATATGTACATGTTAGCCTTATATCGAGGTCTCCCTAAGGTTAGACTACTGACCCTCCCCAGGATGCAACCCCACAACAAGCTGACTAACTATAGTGTACCTATTTACTGCTAGGTGAACAAGTACATTAGGTGATAGGAAACATTCCGAACCATTTTTGTCTTGCACTGGATTCAAACCCCAAATTGCTGATTGTGAGTCGAGAATGAACCCGACTACTACACAAGCAATAACACACTCGTAACCCATGTGTGTTCTATAAAACTTTGTACTAATACCCATTCTGGTGGGTCCACAGAATTACTCAAAACTACCCAAAGCCTAAAAGTATGTAAGTAAAGAAGAAATATAATATACAGTGGCACCTCGATTAATGAGTTTAATCCATTCCAGCAGCGAGCTCGTCATGTTAAAAACTTATCTTGTGAAACAACAACAAAACTGTCGTCGGAGGTGTCCGAGAACCAGCGGGAGCACTCGTTAATCGAGCGAAAGCTCGTCAGTCGAGAGAGACATTCTGGGAGTGGCTTGCTCGTTGCTTGAAATGCTCGTAACGGGAGCCACTCGTCACTCGAGGTTCCACTGTACAGTATTCACGTACTGTAATGTTGGTGCTGAATGAAGAAACACATTTTTACTCTGAAATAAGCTTAATTTAATAATGACATAATACCAAAATAGGTGGCAGGTGATAGCAATAAAAGTCGCTGAGGGATTCAGATAGACGATTTTGAATACAGGTACAGTGTACTACATTGTAATTCTCTGCCTTTTTTTTTCAGAGATACTCTACTTGCCAACAATATTTAAGAACCCCACAAACCCGTGTGGCTCCTCTGTGGGATCCTTGTAGTATTTTCACACCTAGGAGTAAATGGCTGCTATCACCAGATCACGGAGTTGAGAGGCTCATGCACACAACACCTGCAGGTCACAGGGTTGTTCCATTCCTCCTTGCTGATATTGGTGAGGGCATCAAAGAAGTGGTCATCAAAGAATGGTAATTGACCTTTAGAATTTGTTGTAACTGTTGTGAAATAAGATCTTTGTTAATGCTTTGTGGCTGCTTGGCATCAAATTACACTAAATTAATAATAAATTGTGGTTGCTCACTGCCAATTTATGCTGGACTTTACGTGCTTCTGTTTGTAATTAAGTTGTATCATATTGCGCACATTGATAGTCATGCATTTACTTGGAAAAATCTCATTCATCATCTGCACACATTGCAGTAAATTGAGATTACATATAATTTTCATGATGCCATACTAGTACTGTGTGTGTGTAATTACCTAAGTGTAGTTACAGGATGAGAGCTACGCTCGTGGTGTTCCGTCTTCATTGTCTTCATTCGTCTTCTTCACTTGATATTATGTCTTGCTGATCTGCTGAATGAGAATAAAGATGTTATTTACAGAGTGCATGCTCAAGTTTTGTGGGACATTTTCTGGGGGGAGCTCCCTACAGCTCCCCGGAGTTTACTAGGCTGATATGCTAATGTCAGGCTTTGGCATCAGTCATGTGTATGGAGTTCTTATGGGCCTACCGAGGACCACGAGCCAGAACTTGGCTCCCCTATAAAGAAGCAAGGGGAGCAATGGCCTATAGAAACCCCCGTGTAATTGGAAGCATTCTATGTCTGCCATCGACCGGGTTAGGCATCCAGGAAGGTAGGCATCCCAAAACAAACCCCCTATTCTGGTGAAAATTGCAACCAAAAGCCAAACAAGTGGATAGAACTCCCCAAACAAAAACGAGCAAATTAGTATGACATCACCCGTCGTTGCGCCGCTGTCTGCGCAGCCCTCCCACTCCCTGGGAGGGGGGAGGGGTAGCCCCAGGCCTACCGCGCCGGCGATCCACACCCCAGTTCTTGAGGCTGATGCTATCGGTTCGGTTGTGTGCTCTGGCTCCAGTATTTTTACGGCGCTGTGCCTTGAGTGTGGCTGCTGTTCTCCAGGGGTGCGAGAGCCAGGAGTTATTCCTCAGTATTCAGGCTGCATGCGCCTAGGGTTCCCTTCCCTAGGTGCCTTGTAAGTACTGCCTTTGGAGCTTGGGGTTACCTTCCACAAATTCCTCGGGGTCTGCCTGTGTGTGTCTGTTTTACTGCTCGGTTTCTCGGTCGCCCTTTGAGTACTTGGGTGTTTTGTCTCCCTAGTTTACCTTAGGGTAAGAGTTAGTTTTCGCACTGGTAAGGGGCGCAGGGTGCTGCGCAGCTAGTTGTCACCTATCACAGCGGCCGGCTCTGTTCCTTGGGGTACATTGTCCTCGTGTGAGGTTTCGTTTTTCTTTTTCTTTTTGCCTTGGTGGGAGGTTCTGCCCTATTTGCCACTGGTGTTTGGCCTCACCCTGATACATGGTGGTGCTCCCTGCTTGGTCCCCATGAGTGTACACGTCCCTGGGGTTCAGCTTTTAGACAGTTTGTTTGGTAGTTTTGGTTGCCGGTTAGCAGTACCCTGCCTGGGTTTACCTTAGCACAAGTCCTCTTCAAGTAAAGGCTCAGGATCCTGGGAATCCCCTAGGGGATGCTTGGGTCTGATAGATGTGACCCCGGGGCCCCCCCCCCCCCTCGCTTCGTGCGAGTTTGAGGGTGATTCGATTCCCTCATCTCAGGGCGACTCTCACTCTTTTGCCTCCGTCACGCAGCCTGTTGGGTTGGTGACACTTTCGACCGTGAGTCCTGTAAGTATTGTTGCTTGCTGGTGACTCAATTTACCCAATCTGTGGATAATCATCTTTGGGTACAGGCTGTGTACATTCTATTGGCTGTGTACATTGTACCCAATGTGTACATTGGGTACAGGTACATTCTAGGTTTCGGTTGTTGCAACGCACTCGGTTGAACGCTCACCCGGATGCCCCAGGGCTGCCCCGTTTTGCTCATAGGGACCTGGGCTTGGGGGTGGGAGTCGCTTTGACCCTGGTTCAGTCCGCACCTCCTGGTCCTTCCCCTCCTGTTGTTCATTCTGGTCCCCCTCCCCTGCTTCCGGGCCCCGAAACGTCTGAGGGTTTCGGAGTCGGGGCAGGGGTTGTTAGTTGGTCTTGAGACTCGGGCAGCCTCGGGGGATGCCCCTTCTGGTGTGGCGACGGAGGCATTCGAGTCTCCTCCCCCGGCCGAAGCATCTGGGTCTGACCAGTGGGCCTCATTCTGTCCGGCTTCTACTGCTGCCCCGGCCTTGTCTAGTGGGGTCAGTGCTTGGGGGAGGACTCAGTTTCAGGGACAGAGGACTCCTCCTGCAGAGGAGGACCCTGGGGCTGGGGAAGGACTGACTTTGGGGGTCTTGGGCTCCACTGGACCCCACCTGGGTTTTTCTACCCTCTGAGCGGGGCTTACTGTTACAAGGAGTGGGGTTTTCTTTTACCCCCTCTTCGTACGAGTTGGAGTTGTTGTCTGCCCCTCCCCTGGTTTGTTTCCATGTTCCCTGGGCACTTCGGTTCTGTCTTTCCGGAGGTTTTCGGCTTATCGCATCCAACCTGCTGCGGTGCAGCCGGCCCTTGCAACAAACCTCCTGCGTGACCCGGATTATGCCTCGGCAATGGATCCCTCGGCTTTCAGGTTTGGGACTTCGTTCCCTTTCTGGCTCAGTTACGAGGTTCTGGAGTCGTCCTGGCTGGCGGACTGTCCTGTTTTTACCTTGGAGGCTTGGCACTCCTTTTGCCATTTCCACATGCTTGAGTGGCAGGAGGCTTTGATGGTGCTTCAGGTTTTCCTGGGGGGGGGGGCGACCTTGAGCACCTCGATGAGTGCTTGTTTGCTCCTGCCCTTTCCCAGGATGTCATTCAGCTCCATGTGCAAGCTCCTTCCCTTTCGGTGGCGCAGGTGGCGGAGGACTTGCGCGCTCGGGCCTTTGGTTGCAGCCTTGCACTTCTTTTCCGTCCTGGATCTGTCTTCCGACTGGCTCACAGAGGGTGTGGGGGCGCTTGGGGCTGTTCCTGGGTCTGGCGCCTTGGCCTCAGCGACTTGCTCGTCGGCTGCCTTGCTGAAGCTTTTCGGGCCTGTCTTGCGGGATGCAGTGGCTCTGTTTTGTGCCTCCTGGCTGGCGTGTTGGCAGACGGTGCTTGCCTCTGTGGAATCCGCTTGGGCCTTGGCTCTTAGGATGTCTTCCCCATTTTGCCCTCTTGTGTTTGAGGCTTCCGCCGTTGAGCAGTATATTCAGGCTGCTTCGGCTTCTTGCCGTCCTATGTCGGACTTGCTGGTTCTCCAGGGGTCCCATGGTGGACCTTCCCGGAAGGGTCGTGCCAAGGCTCAGGATTCCTCTCGTCTTGGTAGGCCACTGGTGTCAGGTTCGGGTTCAGCTCCTCCTTCGGACCCGCCTTCGTCTGGTCGGTGCGGTGTTCGCTCTGTGCAAGGTTCTGGGTCTCGTAAGGGGGCGCCGGCTCTTTCGCAGTTCGCTTCATTGACGGGGCGATGGGGGGAGGCTTGCGCTGTTTGCTCACGCCTGGTCCCACGATTTGTGGGCGTTTCGGGTCGTTTCACACGGCATCTGGTGGCGTTGCGTGGCTCCTCCCCTTGCGGGGGTTCGGGGCTGGCGAGGCAGGCTTCTTCCCCTGCGCTCTGTCAGGTCATCTTGGAGTGCGTTTGCTTGGGCGTGGTCGAAACGACAACGTCCCTCAGATGGGTTTCCCGTCTGTTTCCAGTCCCGAAACGGGACTGTGCGGACCTGCGGTTCATTCTGGACTTGTCCTGTCTGAACCCCTGGGTTCATTGCCCCTCCTTTCGGATGACCATGCTGTCCCAGGTTCGGCTCATGTTGGAGCTGGCCGCTTGGATGGTGTCCCTGGACCCCCGGGACGCTTTTGGGCATGTCCCGATTCATGGGGGCTCAGGGACTGTCTCGGTTTTGTTGTGGGGCTTCGTGTTTACCGGTTTCGTTGTCTTCCGTTCGGTTTGAACCTGGCACCTCGCATTTTCACGCAGCCGTGGTGACCCGTCTGCATATGTTAGGTGTTCGGGTGTTGGCCTACCTCGACGACTGGCTGGTTTGAGCTCCCAGCCAGTCTGCTTGTTTGCTAGCTAGGGTTCTGGTTCTTTCTCAGCTCGCCGGGTTCAGGTTCTTGGTGAACTGGAGGAAGTCCCATCTGGTTCCCTCCCAGGTTCGGACCTGTCTGGGCCTTGTGTGGGACTCTCGGACCGCTTCCTTGTCTCTTTCTTCGGAGTCTCTTCTGCGGCTGTGGTTCCGCTTGTGTCTGTTTCTGGGGGGCTCCCGGGCCACCCGGCAGTTGCTTGAGGGTCTGTGCGGGAGCCTGAATTTCGCGATGCTGGTCTACCTGCCGGGTCAGGTTTGACTTCATCGACTGTTCTGGTTCTTTTTGGGACGTCTCTTCCGCCTCTCTCGCGATCGTTGGGTTCGGACCCCGGGGGGCTTTGCGTTGGTTGCTGCGTCACCGGCTTCCTTTTCGGATTTTTCGGTATTCAGTGCCTTGGCGCCTACCTGAGCCTCGCTTGATGTGTTTACGGGCGCGTCGTCTCTCGGCTGGGACTTTGTGACCAGTGCTCAACAGGCCGGCCAGGGACGGTGGGGGTCTGTCCTTCTGTCGAGCCCACAGCTGTGCAGGAGTTCGTGGCAGTGTGGTTTGTTCTTCGGAGGATTCGAGTTGCCGATTCGGCTCCATTCGAACTGCTCTCCGGTGGTTCATTGTCTGAACCAGGGGATGTTCGATGCGGTCCTTAGCTCTTTGGCGCTGGTCGCTTCGGGTGACTCGTCTGCTGAGTTCTTGGAGTTTGGCTGTCCTGGCAGTTCACGTGTACGGAGTGTCCACCGTCTAGGCCGACGGCCTGTCTTGTTGCGCTCCCCTCTTCACGGAATGGACGGTCAACGCCGACTCCTTCCGTTGGCTTTGCCAGATGTTCGGACGCCCCGAGGTGGACCTCTTCGCGTCGGCGTGGTAACGGCGCCTTTCTCTGTATGTGGCACTCTTTCCCGACTGCGAGGCCGTCAGAGACGACGCCTTTCGGCAGGACTGGTCGAGGTGGGGGTTCCTGTACCTCTTTCCCCCAGT